TTAAGTAATTTTCCCAGGGCCAAGCAGTGAAGAAACGTCATCAACAGGACTTGAACCCAGGCAGTCTGGCCCAGAGCCCACACCAAGCTTGGGGACTCCAGCACGCATTTAATCATTCAGCAAGTCCACAGGTAGGACCGTTTACATTTGTCTTACAGAGCGGGAAACCGGAGCTCTGGAAGTGTAGGTGACTCACATAAGCTCACAGTTCCCCTGATGTCACACCAGGACACTTGAATGCGGCAGTCAGGATGCTGCAATGGGTGTGGCAGCATAGGTCCCCGGTGCTGGGCCTCTGAGCCCAGGTGGGTTTGGGCCTTGTCTTGGTGGCAGGATGAGTCTTGGTCAACAAGGCAGGGCATAAATTCACAGACATATACGTTGCAAAGGAGCTGGTCGGAAGTAAAACAGGTGGGTTGTGGTTGGTAGCAGCCGGGAATGCCGGCCACGGTTCAGACTTCATTCTCTTTGCAGCAAGGAGCCCTGGGGGTGTCTGCGCGGAGCTGGGTGTCAGCGAGACTAGACTGGGTGGGAGGTGGAAGAGGCTGGGGACCAGCAGGGCGGACTGCCGGGTCCAGGCAGAGATGATGCGGCCAGCCAGGTGGGCAGTGGGGTTGGGGGGCGGGGCCTCGTGGGAGAGGCGGGGCCGCGTGGGAGAGGCGCTGGCGATTGGATGTGGGAGCCCAGCGAGAGGGCGGAGCCTGACCGGAGCAATGACAAACTGAGAAGCGTGGTTAGGCGTGCCAGCTTTGGGGGGCGTTGTGAGGGGAGCGAGTTCTGGTTTTTCTCTCCAAGGTTAAGCTCAAGCGGAACCACCAAGACAGCCCGGGGGGGAGAAAAAGTTGCAGCTCCCCTGCCCCTTCTCCACAAAAGCGGAAGTAGTTAAAATCTTTAGGAGGGATGAACGGTGAAGCCAGCATCGTCAGCCCCTCTCCTCCCCAAAGTGTTAGCTTACGCGGAGCCAACGCTCAACTGGTTTTCTTTCCCTGCTCCAAGCCCCTGGGGAAATCCGGTCCGCCTGGGTTCAAATCCTGGCGGAGCCGCTCCCTGACTATGTAATCTTGAGCAGGTCACAGAAATCTCTGCGGCTCAGTTTTCCTACGTGTAAATAGGGAGTAACTATCACTCCTACCTCACTGGCAGGGTCGTGGTGAGCATCACATGCATCGATGCACATATAGAGCCTGGAACAGCGCCTGGCGTTTAGTAAGACCTCAGAGATGTTGGCTGTTATTATTATTGAGAATGAATGACTGGCCCGCACTGCAGGTGGTCGGGCTGATGGTTTTGTTCATTTATTCATTCATTGAACAGATAGTTACTGAGACCTTAATATGTGCTAGGGATACAGCCACAAAACAGACAAATCCTAACCCTAACCCTAACCCTCACAACCTCACAAAGGAGCCTCCCAACCTCCCTGGGAACTTAATCTCTCCATCTCTGGTAATAAGGAGCTTCCCACAGTCCTCTGTACTGACAGCATGGAGGTCTGGGGCAGAAGATCTCGAAGCCTCAGCTGTCCTGTTATGGCACTAGCTATTTCCTCCAGGGAGGAAGCTCCCGTGGCCAAAGTAATCAAGCAAAAGCTGAGAATCCTTGAAAGTCCCTCTTTGCTCTGAAATATGGAGGAAGTCTAAGCCTTTATCAGTATCTACAGGACAGATACAGGAGCACACACAGCTCTATCAAGGTCTCAAGTTCAAGATAACAGTGTGGCCACAAGGTGGCACCATGACCCTGGCCCAATCTTAAAGTCATTTTTAAAATTATAGCAAAGTACAGATTAAAATACAACAAACATCTGTGAATCTATCACGTAGAATAAACAAATGTTAAAGTTATTGCCATGATTTCTTTAGGTCTTTTTTTTTAACAAATAAAAGCTATCAAACAGAAAAAGCTAAAAGCAGGGAGACTAATATTCTATCCCACTACATACTGAGTGTTACAAAGCTAAAATGTATGAGGCAAATGGTCTATCAGGTACTCAGCCCATTCACAGCCCCACCGCCCCAGTTCCATAGCAGCAGAGAATTTTAGAGGCTTTGCCAACCTCACAGAGCAAGTAGCAGAATTGGGATGAGGAACTCAGGTCACTGGGCTCCACAATCATTCCACACAGCACCTCTTGGGTCATTGTTGCTCACGTCACAATCCCTGGGGTGAAGGAGTTACTACAGGGCTGAATGCATCACCATTGCACAGATGGGAACACTGAGTCCAACAGCTCGCACTGATATAGTACAGTAAAGTCTTCAGATCACACCGTCATTTCATCCCCTCAACAACCCTGTCAGATGGGTGTGTATTGTTCTGCTAGCTATTGCAGAGGACAAAAGGTGGCCCAAAGAGATGGAGCTGCTGGCCCTGGGTCCACAGAGCCGGTAAGCGGTGAGCTGGATCCCAAGCCAGCTCTTTCTGACTCTCAGCTCCTGCTTGGTGTACACATCCTGTTCCTCGGGGCATGGCAGACACCTCACAGTGTTGCAGTATGGTGTCGGGGGTGGGGTGGGGAGGGCAGGCCTCCTCCCCCTGCTGAGCAGATCCATCTGTGGGCAAGACTGGGGCTCTGAGCACCCAACAGCGGCTTAGGGGTGGGTGGGGCGCTGCAGGGGCTGAGGTTTCTGTCAGGAGGTTTTCGACGGCCTGTAGTGGGCTCCCTCTGCCGCAGGCATCGGGCAGACTGAGTTTCAGTTCCTGCTGGACCGCATGCTGCTGGTGACCCTGGGCCAGGCCCTTGGCCTATCCGAACTCCAGTTTAACATCTACTCCACACTATTGTAGGGGTAGGAATAAATACTTGAAGGAGTAGGAATATTGTAAGAGTAAGAACAGTATAACAAAGTCCCTGGGAACAGAGCAAGAGCCTTAACTGTGGAAGGTGTCATAATATTTTTGTGTTTCTGTGGAGGGAAAAAGACCTCTCCTCCTCTTTGTACTACATTTTATTTTTTTCTATAGCAGTTATCACTTTATGATTACTTTAGTTTTTTTGTCTTTTTGAAGACAGAGTCTTGATTTGTCAACCGGGCTAGAGTGCCGTGGCGTCAGCCTAGCTCACAGCAACCTCAAACTCCTGGGCTCAAGTGATCCTCCTGCCTCAGCCTCCCAAGTAGCTGGGACTTTTTTTCTGTTTTTAGTTGCCCAGCTAATGTCTTTCTATTTTTAGTAGACATAGGGTCTCGCTTTTGTTCATGCTGGTCTTGAACTCCTGAGCTCAAGCAATCCTCTTGCCTGGGCCTCCCGGAGTGCTAGGATTACAGGCATGACCGCCTGGCCTTACTTTACATGTTTATTATACTTATTGTTTAATTAATTAATTATACTAATTGTTTAATTAATATTATACTTATTGTTTATTGTCTGTCTCCTTCCACTAGAGGGTAACCACCATGGAGGTGGGGATCTTTGTTGGGGTCACTGTAGTGTCCTGATTGGCCAGAACAGTGCCTGATGCCTAGTGGGTGCTCAATAAATATTTATTGAATGAATCTGCACAGCAGTGTTAGGTAGAGCCCCTTCAGGCAGAGGGAAGAGGTACACACATGGAGGTCACACTCAGGGGATGCCACACCCCACCCCTCTGCCTGCAGTGACGCCACCGCACCTGCCTGGGCATTCCCCAATGTGTTCACGCTCTGTTAGACTGGGAGTGCCCGGAGGTCAAGGACTTCATCATTAGTGCCTGTTCCCTTTGGGGAACGGGATGGTTTCTCCTGGCAAGACCCGGGGAAGGACAGCCCGCTGCTCAAACTAACGGTGAAGAGTGCCCTGAATTATTATTAACCCATTTAATAGACACAGCAACTGAGGCCAGAGGGATGTCAAGTGATTTGCCCATTTCCTAACTCCTGGGTTTCCCCGGAAGTGCAGTGACCTCGCTGCGAGTGGGCCGATCCCATTCGGGAGCAGTCCCCAGACAAAAGGAGGTCACAGCCCCCTTCTCTAAATTCTGCCTGCGCCGCCGCCGCGCGTGGGTTGCGGAAGAATATGCGGGGGCGTGGGAGCTGCCATAGCCCGGGAGGCTGCCCGGCGCAGCTGGGGCCCTCGGATCGCTGGTCCCCAGGCCCGGGGTGCCCGGCCCCCGCCCGCCTGCGGGGCCCGGGCTTGGCTTTCCCCGCCCACCACGGGGCGGGGCGCACGCTCCGCGGCGCGGGGACCGCGCGCTTCTGGCCCCATCCGCCCGCTCCTCCGTGCGCGCGGGCCCCTCGCGGCACCTCCCCGGCTCGGGAGCCCCCGGCCCGCCGCTCCCCCGGCTCGCAGCCGCCTCTTCCCCTCCCAGCCCCGCGGCGCTCGCCGCAGTCGCGAGCGGCAGAGCAGCGGCAGCGCCCCAGGTACCGAGCGCGGGCGGAGGCGGGCCAGCGACCCGGTGGCAGGGTGGGGAGGGGGCGCGACCGCTGCCCTCCTCTCCCCGCCGGGCCTGGCCGGCCGCGTCCTCCCGCGCGCCGCAGGGGCCGGGTGCGCCCGATCCCGGGGAGCCTCTACCGGCTGCGACCTGCCTTCCCCGCCCGGGCTCCGCTCGGCCCCTAGGCCCCCACCCTGCGACCCCAAGCACTGCGGCTCCCGACCTAGCGCCCCCGCACGCCCACCGCCGCGGGGAGCCGGCCCGGCGGGAGAGCGCCCGTTTGGCCCCGGCTCCCACCTCCCCGGGCTCCCACCGTCCTCGCCCCCATCTTACCTCCCGCCCCTCCAGGGGGCTCTGCTTCCACCCGAGGGCGCCCCCCACGACCTCCTCCCAACTTTCTTCCGCTGTCTTTAGGGGACTCGGCTCATTAGGTGCCCCTCCCTAAACTTCCCACCCGTTTGCTCCAGGTGTCCCTGTCCCACCCCGAGGGCGCCCGTGTGGCTCCTCTCCGTCCTCCTCTGGTCGCTGGCCTGGACCTAGCGCCCCGGCCTCCATCTTCCCACCTGTCCCCGCGGGGGAGGGGGGAGGGACGCGGTCTGTTGTCACCGACGGTGCCCACCCAGCCTCGGCTCCTCCAGGCCACAACATCACACCGCCGCCCTCCATCCCCGGTCCCCATGGTCCCAGAGCTGGCGCCCTCCAACAACAGCACCCTGGCCTGGGGGTCGGGGCTGCCGTCGGCCGCGGCGGGCAGCGGCTGGGTGGCGGCCGGGCTGTGCGTGGTCATCGCGCTGACGGCGGCGGCCAACTCGCTGCTCATCGCACTCATCTGCACGCAGCCGGCGCTGCGCAACACGTCCAACTTCTTCCTGGTGTCGCTCTTCACGTCGGACCTGATGGTGGGGCTGGTGGTGATGCCGCCGGCCATGCTGAACGTGCTGTACGGGCGCTGGGTGCTGGCGCGCGGCCTCTGCCTGCTCTGGACCGCCTTCGACGTGATGTGCTGCAGCGCCTCCATCCTCAACCTCTGCCTCATCAGCCTGGACCGCTACCTGCTCATCCTGTCGCCGCTGCGCTACAAGCTGCGCATGACGCCGCCGCGCGCCCTGGCGCTTGTCCTGGGCGCCTGGAGCCTGGCTGCGCTCGCCTCCTTCCTGCCCCTGCTCCTGGGCTGGCACGAGCTGGGCCACGCGCGGCCGCCTGACCCGGGCCAGTGCCGCCTGCTGGCCAGCCTGCCCTTCGTCCTCGTGGCGTCGGGCCTCACCTTCTTTCTGCCCTCGGGTGCCATCTGCTTCACCTACTGCAGGATCCTGCTGGCCGCCCGCAAGCAGGCCGTGCAGGTGGCCTCCATCACCACCGGCATGGCCAGCCAGGCCTTGGAGACGCTGCAGGTACCCGGGGTGCGCAGGGAGACCCGGGCTTGTGGGGTGGAGAGGAATGAGCAGCCACTGGGCGCCCTGGGGCATCACCACTCAGCACGGACTTGCTGGTGACCTCTTCTCGGCCTTTCCTAGCTCCCACCTTTCTGCTGAGCGCCACTCAATGCCTGACTGTCCACAGGACAGCTCCACCAGGCTGTGGGGCAGGCTTCTCCCAGTAACATGTGCAACGAGGAATTTAGGGTGGCCCATCTCTCTCCCTCTGCTCCTCCCCTGGTCTTCCCCATCATGGCAATGACACCATCATGGCATCCCACACCAGAAACTTGGGAATAATTCTTTGCCCTCTTGCTCAACCCATTCATTAGCAAGGCCCGATCGCACTGCTTCCTAAACTGGTGCCGTCTCCACGGCCACCTCTCTAATCCAAGCCACTGACACTTCTTGCCTGGGAGCCTTTGGCGGATTTCTACTGGCCCCCGCTCCCGCTCCAGCCACTGCTGTGCATTTTCTGCACTGGAGCCAAAAAGCAACTTCTGCTCAAACCCTTCAGTGGCTCCTCATTGCACTCAAGGTAAAGAGCAAACCCGTCTCAGACTCTGGCTTCAGGATCTGTCCCTGCCAACTGCTCCAGCGTCACCTCCCCGCCCTCTCTTACTCTGCACCAGCCTCGTGGCCCTTCTGACAGTTCCTGGGAGGCAGTGAGCTTCCCTCTGTGCCAGGGGCTGTACTTGCTGTGCCCCCTGCCTGGAATGCTCTTCCTGCAGCTGCTTGTGCCTGACTGTTAGCTCACCTCTTTCCAGGGCCCACCCCCGGCCTCCCTGTCTGCAGACCCAGCCGCCCTCCCCCACGCCGGTTCCCTAGCGGGTCCCCTGGTTCATTTGCCGACTTGCTTGTTCTGCCTCCCTGACTTGGATGTGAGCTCTGTGAGGGCCGCGCATATCTAGGTCGGTTTTGCTTCCCACTGCACAGTGAGTGCGCCTATTTAGGTGCTTGTGAATGGGGTAGGTGCTCTTAGCTCAAGGCCTTGCGATGTCTGTAAGTGGAGTGGCTGCTCTTGCCCCCACACCACACTGTGCTTGAGTTCTGCGGTCCACCCTGTGGGGTGGGAGTGTAGACTGACCAGGCCCAAGTCCCAGGGACTTAGGTCACAGGCCCTGTGTAAAGTCCCAATTGGGCTCGCTTGGTGAAAGAAGCTCCAGGAGGATGGGGGGTGCCTTTGGGGGTCATTGGGTGGATGGGGACTTGGCTGAGGGGTGAAAGGCCAACATTCTCCTCACCCCATCAGTGAGGCCCAGAGCTGCCCCTGCTAAGAGGGCAGAGCCCTGCGTGGCCAGGGCGTCCTGTGGGGAGCCCTGCTCCTTCTCCCCATCTGTGCTCCCTGGAGAACATTCTTGAGTCTCGGCAGGTGGCTGTGACCCTGACTTGCTTCTTCAGGTGTGGGATGGCTGCCCTGGGCTGTCCACACTCTCTCCTGGGTCCTCGTTTCCCAAACTTCAGGCTTCCAGAACATCTACCTTGCTACCTCTCCCCACCTCCATCTCAAGCCACTTAATTCATGTGTACTTAGCATTTTCTTTAAATCATCTCCCTTATCTTTTTACTTCCATGAATTTGTTTAGAAAGAAAACTTTGTATATCTTCCAGAAATGGAAAATCAGTATCCCTTGCCGCAGACAGAAGGTGATCACAAACACAACTTCAACGTCGAAGACACCCAGCAGCAACTCTGAAGTCCAGCTCGGTGCCCTTGAAGCGCCTGAGCCTGAAGCCTGCTTCCTCTTTGTTGAGTGTTAGAGGGTGTCAAAGCCATGGTAGCACCAACATGGGTCTTTCTCTCGACGTACCTGGAAGAGTTGGAAGAGCAGTGGCAAGGGCTAATGTTCTCTGTGATTCACTTATTTTATGGGGCATCCGCTTACCACCCGAGATCACCGCCATTCCCTCACTTTGGGAAGCTCTGCTCTCATCGCTGGGGATGTGAGACGTGGCCTGGTCTGGGTGAGGTCCGGGCAGGAGAGATCAGGATTCCAGGTTCCAATGGCTCTGGTGACAGAGGTTTTCTTTCCATTAAGCTAGTCAGCTGGTACCAGGATTGAGCTTGAGACTGTGGCCTCAGAACCCGGGCGGGGGTCTCCCCGGGGCCATCAGGTGCAGCCCCGCAGTCTTGGAGCACTCACTATGTGCCAGGTGCCACCGAGCTAAGCTTATTAATCTCCCAGTCACCCAATGAGACCAGTACTACTGTCATCTCTGTTTGACAGATGGGGAAACTGAGGTTCAGAGAGAGGGGAGGTGGCTTGCCCAGGGTCACGCAGCTGGTGAATGAGGTTCAAGGTCTGATCTGGCTGGTGCCACAGCCTCCATCTGAGCCGGTGCGCTGCCTGTGGGCAGGGATGCTCTTGAAACGCTGTGCTTGGGGACACCACATTGTGTCCCTTTACTTCTGTGTCGGGTCCTCCTGATCCACCCCAGCTGTGGCATTCCCTGGGCCTCATTCCCCGGCCTCTTCGCCCTTTTCCTGCATTCACTCCCTTAGTGATCTCATCTTGTCTCATGACTGAAAACGCCACCTGCACGCTGATGACTTCCTGCCTGGGCTGCTTACGTGCTCGCAACAGAGCTCCGGATTTTCCGGGCCCCAGACCTAATCCCCCCATCGTCTTCCTTATATCAGGTCACTCGCTGTCCCGGAGCGAGGTGATCAGTTGTTCAGGCCAGGGACCGTGGAGGCAGTCTGGACGCCTCTCTTTGTTTCACACTCCGCGTCCAGTCCTCTCATGGCTGCCGCGAAAACACGTCCAGGCTGGGCCACTTCTCACCTCTCCACTGCTGCCCCCCACCAGAGCCGAGGCCCTCCGGCTGCTGCCTGGGTTACTGCAGGACTCTCCTGACTGACTTCCTCATGTCACCCTTGCTCCCTTTCAACCCCCTACAACAGCTAGAGTGGTCCCTTAGAAGTGCAAGTGCTGCGGTGTCATTCCTCTGCCGCGTGGCCTCCTGTCACCTGGCCCTCTGCTCCTTATTGGGCTTCATCTCCTCCCACCACCCCCCTGCTCTTTCCCTTTCAGCCAGCTGGCCTCCTTGCCGTTCCTCAAACACACCACCAAGCACATTCCTGCCTCAGGATCTTTGCACTTGCTGTTCCCGCTGCCTGGCATGCCCTTTCCTCACTTCCCCACATGGTTCTCCCCCCACCCACTCCCGACTTCCACCACTTCCTTCCAGTCTCTATTCAGTCACCTTCCCCAATCCTTGGATCACAGAAGCAACTGCCACCCCATCCCCAGGTCCTGTCCAGCCCTCCCTTCCTGAGTTATTTCTCAGCAGCACTTACCACCCCCTGGCATATTACGTACTTACCCCTTTATTTGTCACTTTGCTCTACTAGAGTGTAAGCTCGGTGAGGGTGGGAACCTGTCTTTTTGTTTTACTGCCATGATCCCAGCACATCATGGTGACCAGTGTGTATTTATGGAAGCGATGAAAGAACGCAGTGCCTCAGGGAGCCTGGGAGTCTATCCCTGTTCACGTGGCTGCCTTTCTCACACTCCTTTGAGAATCAGTTCTTGCATGTGACAACCTAAGCTTTTTATCACGTGGGTTCATCTGCTTGGTAACATGCACCGAGCACCTACTTCGTGCGGAGCTGTCCCAGGCAGTGTACGTGTTGACGGGACTGCGACACCCGCCCGCCCGGGCTCTGTTCTGGCTGGGGAGACAGACACTGATCATGAAACGCTACCATGATGAGGATTATGGAGCTTATAAGAGGGTCCCTCACCCAGCGAACATTCCCTGAGTATACGCTTGAAGGCTAAAGCAGAGAAGTCACACTGAGCTCTAAAACCGAAGGCTGGTCGCAGCCCTCATGGGCCAGCACCTCACCTCTGAGGCAGAATGACCTGTGGGCTTCTCTAGCCAGGGATGTGTCTATTCGAATCCCCCACTTTCTGGAATATTTGTTCTGGTTTGTATGTGAAGTGTCAGCTCCTGGCTGCCGTCCTCGCTTCCAAATCACTTGGCTCCTAGGCGAGCCTTCTGCAGGTCTGTTTTGCTCATGGCCAGGAGATCGGCCTGCATTCTGGGAACTGGCTTCTGGGATGCCGCCTCCGCTCTGACCTCCTGGGTCACCACTGCTTTCTTCCCACCCCAGCTGGCCTGTCTCAGAGACCAGCAGCTTCTAGCCTGGAGGTGCAGGCTCCCTCAATGCCTGGACCTAAAGGCACTGCTGAGAATGAATAAGACTTGGGGTGCATCAGCCCCCTTTCCTCCTGTGCTCAGTCTCACTCACCCCTTGGTGCTGTCTCCAATGCAGCCTGCAGCTTCCCTGCAGAGGGGAGGGAGCTGGGCATAGGTTCCCAAAGCCCCAGTTTCTCTGGGGTCTAGAGCGTGGGAGCTGGTAGCTTTGAGCATTTCATCCCTCCCATATAGATTATGTATGTAAATGGGCTTTTTTCCCTTTTTTTTTATTTTTTGAGATAGAGTCTCACTCTCTTGCCCAGGCTGGAGTGCAGTGGTGCAATCATAGCTCACTGCAGCCTTGAACTCCTGGCCTCAAGAATCTTCCCACCTCAGCCTCCCAAGCAGCTGGGACTACAGGTGTGTGCCACCACAGCTATCTAATTTAAACATTTTTTGTAGAAATGGGATCTTGCTATGTTGCCCAGGGTGGTCTTGAACTCCTGGCCTCAAGTGATCCTCCTGCCTACAGCCTCCCAAAGTGCTGGGATCACAAGCGTGAGCCACCGTGCCTGGCCTAAATGGGCTTTTAAAAAATCATTGGCTGGCTTAGTGGTTTCACCAGGTTTTCCTACTGTCCCAGGGGCTGGAAGAAAGGATCCTACTTAGTGCTAAGGCAGGGAGTGTGGGCTGGGGATGGAGGGGCGTGGGGGCGGTGGTGACAGAATGAGATGCTGCCAGGGGCATGTGCGTGTGCGTGTGCGTGTGTGTGTGTGTGTGTGTGTGTTGAGGGGTGGATTGGAGTGGCCTTCAGCCCTGGGGGATTCCGGAGGGCTCAGGGTGCTGGGGCAGTGTCGGGGCGCAGCAGGAGTAGTCCAGCCTCTTCCTCTCTGTGCTGGTATTTCTGGGTCTCTGTGGCCCATGACCTCTGCCCTCCTTCTCTGTTCCTCGTCTTCCTCCCCTGTTCCCTTCTCTGCCTTCCGTGTGCCTGTTTTCCCCTCCCCCATCAATTTCTCCTCCTCCTCTTTTCACCCTCCCTCGCTCTACTAAGCATTATTCTGTCTCAGTGATCCATCTTCCCTTCCATCTCTGTCCTTCCTCCTCAGAGGAGGAGGCTGTGATCACAGAAATATCTGCGAGGGGGAGGAGGGGGCTGAGCTGGGAGAGGCTGGCAGAGTGGCACCGCTGAGCGCGGCGGGCTTGGCTGCCGCTTGGAGCCAGGTGGCCTGTGAGCCCGGGCTGCGGCTGTGGCAGGAGCTTGGGTGTCTGGCTGCTCAGGGCTTGAGCCCTACCTCGCAGGGAAGGTGGATGACCTTGGACAAGGCATCTCACCTCTCTGTGCCCCGGGGGGAACGATGTTTGTCTCATGAGGCTGTTTGAAGAGCCAATGAGATAATATACATAAAGTACCCGGCACACATAAGGTGCTCAATATATGTTCGTTCCCCTCCTTTCTGGCTGGTAGGAAAATATATGCTTCTGGGAGCTCACGCCTTTGAGCCTTTCTAGGGAAAAAAGTCACCACTGCTGCCAGCAGCAGCAGCACCACAATGATCAAATAGCTGAGCCGAACACTAGTAACAGTGAACAACAAAGACGACAGCTAACACTTATGTGTGCCAGGCACTGTTCTAACTTCCTGTGCGTTACGTTATTTAATCCTCGCTACAATCCTATGAAGTAGATGCCATTATAATTTTGCCGTTTTGCAAAAGTGAAGGCTGAGACACAGAGAGGTGAAGTGACTTGCCTAAGGTCACTCAGCTAGTTAGTAACGGAGCCAGGATTTGAAACCAGGCAGTGCGGCTCAAGTCTGTCTTGTGGTCCTCACACTATGATTAGATGATGGTAAAAATTTTAAATTACAGAAGGGAATATATAAGTACACTTTAAAATACAAATTCAACAGTAGAGATGAAGTAAAAGATACCCTCTCCGAATTCCATCTAATCACTTTCTACTCCCAGGGACACTCATCAATTTAGGAAATATCCTTCCATTTTTTTTCTGCCTTTTTTTTTTTTTTTTGAGACAAGGTCTCATTCTGTTGCCCAGGCTGGAGTGCAGTGGCATCATCATAGATCATTGCAACCTTGAACTCCTGGGCTCAAGCAATACTCTTGCCTCAGCCTCCCAAGTAGCTAGGATTACAGGGTAGTGCCACCATGCCCAGTTAACTTTTAAATTTTTCTGTAGAGACAGGGTTGTGCTATGTTGCCCAGGCTGGTCTCAAACTCCTGGCCTCAAGTGATCCTCCTACCTTGGCCTCCCAAAGTGTGGGGATTGCACCTGGCCGATTCATTCTTTTAAAACATCTGGGTGGCATCCTGGAGTGGGAATGTGCCGTGGTTTATGTAAGCACTCTTGCTGGACGTTAAGGCTGCTTCCAATTTTTTCCCATCATGCATAGTTCTGTGGGACACGTTATTGTCTATGTCAGGTGTACAGACGAGTGAGCAGGTATGTTTTGAACATAAGGACCTGTAAGTAGGATTGCTGGCTGGAAGGCAACTTCCGGATTGTCCTCCAGGTAGCTGCCCTCTGACAGTGCCGCATGCCGCGGACGTATAGAAGGCACACGCAAACAGAACGTGGCCACGCGGGGCTGTGAGACGGTTTCAAGGCAGAGAGAAGCCAGAAGGGTGATGCTGGTGTCAGCCGGATCCCAGGTGTGGATGGTGGTTTCTCCTAGTTTCTGCTCCATGGGAGCTCTTGGTGACAGTAGTGGGGCTTCCTAACCCTACCCTGTCTGTGGCCCATGGATGCCATCCCCGAGTGTGGAGGTGGCATGGTGAAGTGGGAAGAGCGCAGTTTCTGGGGCCAGAAATGGGTCCCTGACTCAATTCTCACCAGCTGTGGGACTCTTGGCGGGTCCTTTTGCCTCTCTGAGCCTCAGCTGTCCCATCTGCAAAATGGGGATAATCATGGCTATCTCTGAGAGAGAGAGCGGATAACTTGAGGCATATCAAATGCTGATGTGCAGCGAGTGCTCAAGAAATTGGGGACAATAATGCTGATTTGAAGTCACTCTGGTTTATGTGGCCTTGCACTAGTACAGTTGTGACCTTGGGAAGGTCCTCTGTCCTCTCTGAGCCTCAGTTTCCTTCTCTATCCCTCTTGGCTGTGTTCTCTGGTCAACTCTTTGGGAAGAAGAGGAGAAAGAAAGATCTCGGTTGTTCCCACGGAGACCAGAGAGGAGATCTCATTTCATCTTCACTCCCTTCCCTGGAGCTTCCTTCCAGATGGTTGCCCCGAGACACCCTCTGAGTGCCTCAAATTCCTCCTTGCCCTAGAGCTCTAACAAGACCAGGGCTGCCTCCTGCCCTCTCCCCTCCCCAGGTCACCAGGGGGCAGAGGGGCACCTGGATAAGTGGGACCTCTTGGAGACAGTGTCACCTTCCTCCATAATGTCTGTCCCCATTGATGGCAGCAATTTGAAGGTGTGGCAGGTCTTGGGATGATTCTTTTGGGGAAGCCGGAGGCTCCTCCTCCAGGCCGACCATGGTGGGGCCACAGAAACCATATAGAGTCCACTTGGGAGGAGACAAAAACTAGAAGAGGAGAGAGAAAAGCGGATGCTCTTTTTCGCCCTTGCTGACTTGGGCCAGACTTGGGAGCAGACTTGTGTGTGGTGGGGCGGAGGTGGCGGAGCACCCTTCGGTCACAGAGCCTGAGCTGCAGCGTCGTGAGTCAGAGCATCTGTCCTGGCGTCTGTGCTGCTTTAGGGAGGCCAGAGCTGCTGGCAGAAGGACAGGGACCTCGAGTGGTAAAAATCACCCCAACCTCACACACGTATCATGGAACCAGCCTCAGGACTACATGTATGTGGCACCTACTCTGTGTTTGGCACTGTGCATGCATTTATTAGCCTCACTTTGTAAGCTGAGTTTCATTTTCCCCATTTTACAGATGTGGAAACAGAGGCTCTCTCAAGATCACAGAGCAAGTGGTAGAGACATGATTTGAAGCCAGCTCACCTGTCTTAAAAGCCCAGCTTTTGCCTCTGCAATGCTGCCCCACCAGGACAAAGGAGAGAGATCAAAGGCCTCTCTTAGGCTGCTCTTTTGCAAATTTGTCGTTAGTATTTGTGTAACCAGATTTCACCTAGATAAGCACATTGAGGGGTGTGCTCCACCCTCTCTACCATTCCAGAATTAGAACCCCCACTCCCATGGAAAGATGGTGTGTAGCTGGGGTTTCAGCACCATGGACAAGACACCAACTTGGGTACCCGGAAGAGGCCCAGAGGAAGGAGCACGGGATGGAAGGAGAGCGCATGTGCATGAAAGCGGGTGGGGCTGTTGGCTTTGTGCTGCCCCGGCTGGCACATCTTGGCTTTGCCTCCTCCACCCACTTTCCATCTGTGGAAGATTGCCTGGGAATCTGGTTCCCTTCCTGCCTCCTCTGACCTTCTCATCTCCCAATACCCAGCCCACCTCTGGCTGCCTCAAGAGCTTAGCCGGGCCGTCTCTCGCTATAGGAAGTGCTGGGCCTATCTGGCTGTCAAAACCCAGGTGTGCGCCTGGGCGGTGCGCACACCCTTTGCATAGCTCATGGTGAATCGTGCACACCATTGCACGCTGGTATTTACTTACGTTGTACATATGGGTGGGTCTCGCTCCGTGTAAGTCTGATACATGAAAATCCAAATTGATTGCAACGCATGATTTAGAGGAGGACTTCACATCCCAGCCTTTGTGGACGCCTGGGGTTTCATGGTGGGAACCTGCAGACTTCAAGGCAGTCTGTGAACCTTCTGGAAGTGTGGAACATTTCTTTTCTTGTGTGTATGTGTATAAAAATATATAAGCCTTTCATTTTCTGGGGAGAGGTTTTTTGCAGAGTTTCAAAGGGCTCATGAGGTGCAGAAAGTGAAGAGAATTACAGCGCTGAGGGATCACCCAGTTCAGAGAGGCTTTTTGTGTTTCGGGGCTGCTGGTTGCCAGTTTGCAAAGTCAAAATCTAACCTCCCACGCCCACGTCCTCCTGTCAGTGGCTCCTGGCGGGCAGCTTCTTTCTCCTCTGTCCCTCCTCCCCTCTCCTCCTCTTCCGTCCACTCCTGAGCACGGAGAAGCCTGCCAGTCCACAGTGTAACGGAGTTGTAAAATATCAAGGTCGCTAACATCCCTTGTAATCTATAAAAGACTTAATTGCAAGCATTTGCCTTGTTGTGCATGTGTCCTCAAAAAAGCGCTGCTATCTTGTGGAACACGAGAGTAATCACACGGGCAAGACCGTCACTCCCGAACACGAAGAGAATTCGTATACAGAAAAATTGCCGAGCCTTGGACAGCAGCGGGTCCTCTTTTTCTCAAGTACTGTTCCGCTGCAGCTGATTGCAAAGGCTCTGGCAGGTGCTGGGGCTCGTTGTGATGCGTGTTGGCCCGTGTCGCGTGTTGTCTTTCCAGGGATGGTGGTTCTTCCAGACCATCCGATTTGAGTTTGGGGTAGTGTTGCTGTGTCTCATTGCACTTCCTAGAGCTCCTCGTGAAATTCTGGGTCAGGATCAGGGCTCAGTCCAGGTCCATGGCTGAGGCTCCGCGGGAGACCTTGGCTACGTCGGGCTTTATGGTGGGTGTCAGGGTTCAGCCTGGGACCACGGTCAGGACTTAGTTTATCGCCGATGTCGGGCCTCAGTCTAGGACTCCAGCTGGGGCTCGGTCAAGGATCAGGGCTCAGTTCATTGCTGTACTAGGGCTCAGGGTAGAATTAGGACTGAGGCTCAGTCTGCGGCTAGGACCAGAGTCAGACCGGGGCTCTGTCTCAGCTGCCTCACGTGGCCTTCCTTTCTGCAGGTGCCCAGGACGCCCCGCCCAGGGGTGGAGTCGGCTGACAGCAGGCGTCTGGCCGCCAAGCACAGCAGGAAGGCCTTGAAGGCCAGCCTGACGCTGGGCATCCTTCTGGGCATGTTCTTTGTGACCTGGCTGCCCTTCTTTGTGGCCAACATAGCCCAGGTAATGCCACAGCGGGGGGGCAGGGGAGTCCAGGCCTCGCTGGGGAGGCCCTGAGCCCCAGGCCAGGCTTGGGGAGTGGGGAGGGTGGCTGCCTCGCGTGGTGCATGCCTTTGTGTGCATCTGCTTTGTCCCAGCTGGGTGGGGGGTGGGGGGTCTGTGTCCCCACCCCGGGGCCAGGCGTGACCCGTCCCATCCCCTCAGGCCGTGTGCGACTGCGTCTCCCCAGGCCTCTTCGACGTCCTCACCTGGCTGGGTTACTGTAACAGCACCATGAACCCCATCATCTACCCGCTGTTCATGCGGGACTTCAAGCGGGCGCTGGGCAGGTTCCTGCCGTGTCCCCACTGTCCCCGGGAGCGCCGGGCCAGCCTTGCCTCCCCCTCCTTTCGGACCTCTCACAGCGGCCCCCGGCCCGGCCTGAGCCTGCAGCACGTGCTGCCCCTGCCCCTGCCGCCGGACTCGGACTCGGGCTCGGGTGGCTCCTCAGGCCTGCAGCTCACGACCCAGCTGCTGCTTCCTGGGGAGGCCACCCGGGACCCCCCGCCGCCTACCAGGGCCGCTGCTGCAGTCAACTTCCTCAGCATCGATCCCGCAGAGCCCGAGCTGCGGCTGCATCCACGTGGCTCCCCCACGAACTAACCCGGGCTTGGAGCTGGCTAGCGGGGAGCTGCACTAGATGGAACTAAGTCCCAGAGGGGGCCAGCCCTTGGCTAAGAGCGGGAGGCTGCGGGTCTCCTCTGAGCTCCGCGCAGTACACGGGGCCGGCCCCTTACCTGGAGGGAAGACAGCGGACTCCGATTCGGCTTTCTGTAGGACGCTCCGGTGTTGAATGTAACGTGTGTGTAAAGAGGACGGCTTGGAGGACTCAAAGTTCGAGAGAAGGACCTCTTGGTTCAGGTTGGGATGAAAGCAATCGTGTTCTTTGCCCGTTCTATCAGGCCGACGGGAGGGAACGCCTCCATCTGCAGACGTGGTCAGTGCTCGCCGCACCCTCGCCACCCCAAGTGTAGTCAACGGACCATCGTCATCATCGCCACCTCCTGGGAGTTTGTTAAAAATGCCCATCTCTGCCCCACCCCACACCTGCTGCCTCAGAACTGCACGTTAGCGAGATCTCCAGGTCAATCGTGCGCACGTTACCGTGGAGATGCGCTGGTGTGGATGGTCTTTAACCCCGAGAGTGACGTGCTGGACGGTTCTCGGATGTGCCAGCCCCTCGGGACGCGTGTGGCAGCACAGAAGAGCACGTGAGCCAGGGAGCCAGGCACACACCTGCGGCTCCACTCCGCTGGCACAGGGTACTCAACCTCAGCTGCCCCGTGTGTAACGTGGGCTCACGGCGCCTCCCTCACAGGACTGTCTTGAGGATCAGACGTGTGCAGTAGACGGTCAGCAAGCTCTGCTGCTCCGACCCCTGGCCATCCAGCCCTGGCCTCTGGCCATGGGCCAGGAAGGGCTGTTTGTTCCCACTGCTCCTTTTCCACTTTCTTCCTCTTCAGCCCCAACCCAGATTCCCACAGCCTGACTCTGGTTCCCCAGCTCCTTGTTCTGGACGCTGGGTGGGGCCCCGGCACTCAGGGACCTTCCCAGCCCCCAAGCTGCTGCGCTGTCTCTCTTGGGGGCAGATGGCAGTTTCTTGTTCAACCTCAGGGATGGGTTTTCCTCTACCCTGGGCTTCCTTGGACCTAGAAGGGAACAGCCGGGATAAACCCAGCCCCTTGCCCACCTCCTGGCCTTCCCTGGGGTGAGAGAAGTGGGAATGGCAGCCACTTGGGTCAGCAGAGCTGAAGAGGAGCTGTCCCTGGTGGTGGGGCCACCAGGCAGGTGGATGTACTCTGGCACAAGGGCCTTGTTTTGGGGGGGCCGGGGATGGGGGAACTTTTGGTTCCTAAAATTTACCTGCCATAGGTCCCTTTCTAGCCTGAGGGTTTTTTTTTTTTAGTTTCTTTTTTTTTTTTAGTCCCCACCCCTCAGTGAAGTTTTTTTTTAAAGCTTTCGGTCCCCCAAGTTCCATCAACCCAAACTCCCAGGGGGTCCTCCACCCGCAGCTGGCGCTCTCCTTGGTGCTGACTAGACTCAACTCCGGCCCTGGCCGCTAGCTGCAGAGGGGCCATGGTGCTTGCTGGGGCTTGCCCTGTCCCCCAAGACCACCCGAGGGGACTCTCAATAAACACTAGCTGAAGGCTGTGGCCGTGGTGTGGACTGGATTCGATCGAGGGGCCACTCTGGGTCTGAGAAGCAGCTGGTGTAGTTGGAAGAGACCTGGGTGTAGGTGTCCTGGGTTCTGGTCCACACTCTGCCGCTAACATGCTTTGGGACCCCAGCGAAATCATTTCCCCTTTCAGAACCTCAGTTTTCCATGTGTGCCGTGAGCAGTTTGGATTAACAGCAGAGGGAGTTGTATAAATCTTTGCTGAATGAACAAATACACATACACCGGAGAGGTGATCCAGCTCCTATATTCTATGACTCTGATTCCTCCTGCCCTCCTCCCACCTCCCCCCTCCCCCAGAGCCCATCTCGGCCTTGACTTCCCCATCTGCACAGTGGGGGAGCATTATCTCTAGCCCTGTCATTCAGGGACAGTGTGGGGAACAGAGGGAGGTTTCTATGGATGCAGATACAGTGGATAAAAGCTCGGGCTCCAGAGTCCAACTAACTTTTTTTTTTTTTTTTTTTGAGACAGAGTCTTGCTCTGTCTCCCAGGCTAGAGTGCCATGGCGTCAGCCTAGCTCACAGCAACCTCAAACTCCTGGGCTCAAGCAATCCTCCTGCCTCAGCCTCCCAAGTAGCTGGAACTACAGGCGTGCACCACCATACCCGGCTAATTTTTCTATTTTTAGTAGAGATGGGGTCTCGCCCTTACTCAAGCTGGCCTTGAACTCCTGACCTCAAATGATCCTCCTGCCTCGGCCTCCCAGAGTGCTGGGATTACAGGCGTGAGCAATGGCGCCCAGCCGCAACTAACTGCGGTGTGAGACTTGGCCCCATCGCTGACCAGCTGTCTGACCTTCAGCAGGTCACCTGATCTCTCTGAGCCTCAGTTTCCTCGAGTATTAAATGCAGATTATAATAATACCTACTTCACAGGGTGGTTGTGAAGGTCAACAGAGCACTGGCTATGTGGTAAATACTCAAGCAGCGGTAGCCATTGTTGTTATGTATTTGTTAACCACCTCTGTTCCTGCTACAGGAAATCCCTTCCCCGTATAATTCATTCTCGTCAGAAGGCCCAGTTCCCAGCCACACGGAATGCTGATTCAGCATGTATGCGTGTTGCACAACTTTGGGGGGCGCCGCTCACACGTATCTACAGGAGCGATGCCCCTGCAGTTGTGCAGTGCACAGCCTGCATCGCTGTATGGGGCAGATCTGTTCGGCTCTCCTAAGAGCAGAAGGAATAAGCTGCCCCGTTTGCCCCTGTGCCTGCTCCGTTGGTGCCAGGTGGTGGTGCCTGTGGGCTGGGGCAGCCTGGAGTGCGGATGGAAGGCAGGAGGACACGCAGCTTTGCCGAGGCCAGGGGAGGGGTGGTATGGGAGCCCCAGGCTCCAGAGAGCCCTCTGGACCTTCCGACGAACAGCCAGACCCACAGCTGGTGTGGGGTCCTGGGGCTCTAAACTGTGCTCGGCTGACTCCGCAGGTGTCTGGCCTGGCTTCCTCAGGGAGGGAGTGTTTCGTCCCCAAAGTCCCCTTCCTTCCATTTCCTTTTCCTTTCAGTTCCAATTCCTTCAACTTAGCAAAGACACTTGTGGAAATTCATCTGCACCTTCACAGTCCCGTGAGGACCCCGCGTGTAAGAGTGAGCTGGACATAGCAATCTGGGAAGACGGCTCAGGTCCCCGCTGGGGTCAGTCCAGCCCCGGGTAGGGGCCCTGGGTCTTGTGTGCACAGTCAGGGCAGCCCAGCGGGTTGGGGTCCACGCCGTGGCTGCAGATACAGGCGCTCTCGGTGGAGTCGGTAGCAGCGGGAAGGGAGGCCTCCTCAGACTGGTCTGGCCCTGTTGGCACCTGGGCTTGGCTGGGGTCAGTGGCCATGGCCACTTTGGAGGTGTCTCCAGGTGTGGGACCCTGGGTTTGCCCAGCCTGGTGGGTGGTCTTGCCTGATGCGGAGGCGGCGGCCGCCTGGCGAGGCTCCTCCTGGGGCAGGCTGCCCGGGGCCAGCAGGAGCCCCTTCTCGTCCCAGCCCGGCTTGGTGCGGATGCCCACAGCCTTCAGGACGGCGTCCATCTGCTTGGCGTAGTCCAAGTGGCCGCTGACCTGCAGGAGGACAGTGAGTGAGGGCCACGGGGGGAGGGCTGGGCTCTCCCAGGGACCTAGCAAAGCTCCTGGGTCTCACCTCGCCCTCAGCCAACCGGTCACCAAACCCGTGACTCCAGCTCTTAGTGTCTCACATCCAGAGGGGGCTGGAAAGGCTCTAGGTTCAAAGCTGTTCTGGAGTTTATTCAATAAAGATGGAGGAAGTTTCCCTAAAAACTGTGGGTCCTCTGGGGGCAGGAAGGAACCTCCTGACAGATGGAAAGTTGGGGAGGAAGTTCTCATTCTGGGCCGCAGCTCTGGTTGCTGTGCGAGGACTCTGCCACCCACCGTCCCTCTGGCTCTCGGTTGCCTCAGCTGTAAACTGGGACAACAAGAGTGGCTACACCAGGGGGTGGCTGTGAGGACTTCCCCGGAAATAAAGCTATGGCACGGACTGCAAGCTACTGGCTACAGTCCACTCTGCCCCTTCTCCCTTAGTCATAAGAACTGCACTGTGTAGCTGGGCACACTCTCCGCCTCCCTTGCAGCTAGGGGTGGCATTGTGACTAGTTTTGGCCAACGAGATGAAGCAGTTAGTGTGAGGTGGTGCTCCTTGGAATTCTCTTTAAGAGGAGGAGTGCTCTTCTCCCTGCATCTCCTCTTTCCTGCAGGCTGGAATTCAGACGGGATGGCCAGAGCTTGAGCAGCCGTCTTGGGCTATGAGTTGGCCCACTAAGGAGGGCAGAGCAAGCCACAAGACAGAGGGAATTTTGGCCCCTGAAGACAGTGGAATGCCATACCAGCCCTAAACTGCTAATTCTGGCTTCTTTTATATGACAGAATCAACCCTCATGTGTTTAAGACACTTAGCGGAGCCTCTGTTATATGGGCCTGGATCTTGACGAAGACAAAGGCCGAGAACTTGGAAGAGCCCATCCCCTTCCTCCATCCCCATTTTTGTGTCCGGATGTGTCGTGAATGCAAAGTTGGGGTGTGACTGGAATGCCTGATGCCCGGCTGTAATAATGGACGATGCCCAACACATAGTAGGTCCTTAATACGTTGTGGCAAATAAGCTTATTGGACCTACTCCTTTGATGGGTGTCAGTTGCTAATTGTAGATGAAGAAATTGAGCCACAGAGAGGTAGAGTGACGTGGCCCAAGGTCATACAGCTAGAACACATCGGAGCTGGGACAGGAATCCAGGCCTGTTGCTAAAGCCTGTTCTCTTTATAGAAAGTCAGTTGGGAGGGGGGCTTTAAAAGCCATTCTCATTTACAGATGAGGACAGCAGAGCCCAGAGAGGGATGCTGGTTTGCTTAAAGCCACACAGTGCGTGAGGAACAAAGCTGTTGGCGGTGCCCGAGACGCCGCCTGCCGAGGCTGCTTGGTGCAGATCTGCCCCCTGAGAGGGAGCCTCTAGCTCCCCCCCCCCGCCACTGGCGGGGACCCGCTCCAGTGCCAAAGGCAAGCACAAGACAGAACGCTCTTTTAAGGCTGGAGGGGGAAGGCTTTCTTTTAAAAAGAGAACAGGAAAACACTGGGGACGCTCTTGTTGGGAATCTTAGCAAACCACACAAAGACTTGGCTGGTAATGTCTGCATTTCCATTTGAATCACAAATCACACTGGGTTATTCAAATGATTTTTCAAGAACACAAAAAGATAATTCCCTATACAGTTCTGTTATTTTCTCACCACCAGCATCTGCCTACCTCTTGTTCCTTTCCTTATGGATGCTTTTAAACAGTGGTAACGCACGTGTGTATCCACACACCTCAGTGGCTTTTCAGGTCCCTGGGCTCAGGCTGGAGGTCAGGGTGGGCCAGTGCCCCTTCCCCAGCAGGGTGCGTATTTAGTGGCTGCACGGGCACTAGAAAGAACCTTAGTTAGTAATCCGAGAAACTGGTGTTCTGGCCTCGGCTCTGGGCTGGTCCTTACAATTCCTGAACCGTATCTTCCCCTAACCCTAACCCTAACCCCGCCACATCAAAGACTCATGACTTTGAATTCTCGTTCAAAGAGATATTCAAGGGCCTGACAATTCACAGGAACTCAGTACATGCTATCTTTTATTATGTTTCACATATGATCCAAAACACTTTTAAAGAGACATCACCCAATTTGAGTTAGTGATACCCACCTGAATGGGTTGGTGAGAATAATACCTACAAATCATGAAGCACAGTGCCTGGTACATAGCAGGTGCTCTATAAATGAGTTCCCTTACCTTAGTTTCCTTAGAAGTGGGGATGGAGAGTACAGAGGTAGCTGGGCTGACCCATTTGGGAGCCCAAGATAGCTGCTCAAACTCCAGCCATTGCATCTGAATTCCAGTCAGCAGAAGCTTCAGACCCACAGGGACAAACGGTAACTGCCTCTCTAAGGACAAACAAGAACTGCCTCCCTATACCTTTTTAATGTAAAGGGCTAGAGCCAGGGCTAGAAACAGGCCAGGAAGGAAGGGAGGAGGCCTTGTGGCCACTGATCGCAGCTGATCCCACGTAGAAACTCCACTGCACAGTTGCCCTAGACCACACAACTCTGGTCCTCCTTGGTGACACATTGGTCTAGGTCTCAGGCAACCCTAGTCCCTGAGCTGTCATTTTACAAAGACTTGAGGGGAGCAATCTCCGGCAGAGCTCGGGTTTCACAGTGAGCGGAGGGATGGGAGCCAGGGTGAGGTGCGCTGGGAAAGAGCTTCTTCTCAGCGGCGGAAAGTTCTGCTGTGGCTGATGTTGGGTGGAGATTTCAGCCCTTGCCCGTCTCCCTGACTGTCTTGATTGAAACCCGCCCGCTGCCCAGATCCGCACAGGATGTCACTGGAGTGGAGCAGCCTTCCTTGGCTTCCCATGCCGGTAGGGACCCGCCCTGGGGCTCCCCAGCCTCTGCGGACACCCTCGAGAGCAGTCAGTAACCTCCTGCTCATCCGTTTACGTTCTCTGACAGACCGTGCGCTCAGGGAGAGCGGGGACCACCTCCAGCTCCCCTCTGCTCCCAAGGCCAGCCCTGCACGTCGCGGGAGCCCCGCAGCTACTGGGTCCACACAGCTACGGACGGGTCCCAGCACTTCCTGTTTCCTGCCTTATAAGACACTTCAACTCGCTCAAATGGAGGCTGCTGCCACCCACCTCTCCCTGCCCCAGCAACTCCTTCCAAGCCCGTCAGGGCCCTTTGGGTTCCTTCACCTCTCGGGCCTCAGTTTCCTCATTTGCAAAACGGGCTAATAAAGATACTACACCACGTGGGCGGGCTGTGAGGATTCAGTGAGCTCACAGGTGTGACAGGCTTGTCGGCATAGGTTAGAGGCCACCACCAGCGGCCACGGGGATGTATGAACGCGGGCAGCACAAAGGCAGTGGGTAAGAGCCCAGGTTCATTCTGCTCTACCGTTCGCATGCTGTGGTACCTCCTGCTGCCTCAGTTTCCACATCTGCACAATGGGTTATTACGCCTTCATGGGACCGGCAAGAGGATCAAATGACGTATCTGTAAAGCACGCAGTGCCCGCAGCACATTGGCTATTGTTGTTATCATAGAGTGTCTACTTTGTGCCAAGCCCTTTGCGACGTTCTGGAAGCCAGCTGGCATTTCCTCTGGGACATGAAGAGTCTTGCCCCGGGGTGGGTCTCTGCCCCTCAGAAGCCTCATGGGTTGGCCCCTGGCGTGGTGAATGCCCTACGTGCTGCGACCCCATCCCCACGAGGGAGACTGAAGGGTAGGAGGGCAGCTTCATTCACCCCAGAGATGCCCCCTGCCTGCGACAGGGCCAGCCCCGTGGCATGATCCCGAAGGGCCCTGCCATGTCGTCGGTCCAGCAGGGAGAAGACAGGTCCTGCGTGTCTCTGCTCAGAGCAGAGGGCGACCAGCTCTCCCCCAACAGCGGTGATGAAAGCTCTGCGCCAGCGTTTTCAAGGAAAACAGGAGGGCAGCGCAGAGGCAGTGCTAATTACCTCTAATTGCCGGAAGGGGAAAGCACTGCTCTGAGCTGCGCTCCTAATGCGGCAAAGAGCTCTTATGAGGCAGGAGCTGGGAGCTGCCACCGAGACAGTCTGAGGAAGGAGAGAAGTCTGGGGAGCCGCTGGGCCCAAAGGAAAAAAGAACTGCTGGTGGTGGCAGCGACGGGCCAGGAGGGAACTGGCATTCAATGAGGGCCTCCCGTGCACCAGGCATCTCACTTGTGCTGCCCTGGAAGTTAGGTAGTCTCCACCATTTCATAGGTGAGAAAACCGAGGCACAGAGAGGCTAAGTAACTGGCCCAAGGTCACACAGCCAACAGCGGCAGAGCCAGGATTTGAACCAGGCCTCTCTGGTGCCAGAACTGTGCTCTTCCCACCAAATCCCATCGCAGGCAGAAGCTGGATCTTGCGGGGGCTTTGTGGCCTCAAAAGGAACTTTCATTTAAAAGGAACTTTTAGCTGATCTTTTTACCTTTGATTCCTCTGGAGAGGGAGACTCTCGGGGTGGTGAGGCACAGAGTCACTGCTCCCCTTCACCCCATTCAGGGCACAGCCACCCTCAAACAGGACAGGGATCCTGGACACGGTGACACCAGGAGGCATCACTCGAGTCCCTGCGACCCAGCTCACGTCATTCCCACGGGGGAGTGGACGGCACAGGCTTTGGACGTGGGGTCAGAGTCCGGATCTACGACTCTCTGGCTACGAGTCCACTCTCTCAAGCCTCGGTTTTCCAATCTGTGACTTGGGGATGCTTAACATCTGCCATGTGGGGTGGTTGTGAGGTTTACATCGTACGAAAGGCTTCCTGTGGCTCTAGGCACAGTCTGTCCTGTGACGACTCTTTAACCAGGAACAATCGGTTTCGTGAATGGACGAGTCTAGAAACTCCTCTCTTTCCTGGGCCTACACCTGTCCCCAAAGCTTCCAGTTAGGAAGGCACAGGGCGGCTTCAGTTGTGTTCCTTGAGTGGGTGAGGACTTGTGTGTTAGGGTGCTGGGAATTTGGGAGGTGAAGACACAAAAGGGGATGAATTGGCCCCAGTGACCTGGTGTCAGGCCGAGTGACAGGCCCAGGTGACCTCCAGGCAGCGATGTGGTCTATGGACTTCAGGGGCAGCAGTGCCTGGTGAAGTTGGGGTTTTACGTCTTTTGTGCGAGAATTTCCCCTACGTTATCCGATGCCCAGCCAAGTCTCAACGAACATGCTGCCCGGAGTGCGCCATGCTGGGGCACGTAGCGGTGGGTCAAGGCACCCCGCTTTATCTGCCATCGAGGCGCAGTTTGGGGGCAGTCAGGGCGGGCAACTGCTGATGCTCAAGGGAGAAGCCAGAGCCCTTCAGAGGCTGTGCAAGCTGGGGCTGGTTCCAGATGCCCAGGGAGGGGTCTGGTCTGTCTGCTGTCAGGCAGGGTGGCGCCACTCAAAGTGCCGTTACGCAGACACTGGGTTACGCTTGGGCGGCCCCTGGCACTTGATAACAACAATTGGAAACCAAAGGTCCTGTTCTCACGGGCCCCTCGCGTCGCAGGGGTTCTCACTGGCCGAAGTCGGCTTGTGGCTGTCACTGTGGCTGACTGCCCTCCCCCGCCTGGTGTGGGGCACCTCTCCCACCGTTTCTCGTATCTCCCTGAGCGGGGGCTACGTCCATCGGCTTCAGACCTGGTTTGAGTCCTGCTCTGCCATGCTCCAGTGGCGTGACCCTGGGCAAGCCCCGTAGCCCACTAACCTCGGCGTCCTCATCTGTACGGGGAGGACACTCATGCCCGTGCAAGGCTTAGGGCAGAGCCAGGCAGAGTCCACACGGGGAGCTATTGACTCCCTGTGACAGGTGTGTGGCAGGTTCCTTCAGGCCTGAAGGGTGATCCAGAAACTCAAGCCGAGCGCGTGTGGCTGCCATGGCAGGTCCCCTCCCACCCCGTTCCCAGCAAGGATTCTCTCTGGCCACCCGCCCCTGCAGCCCAGCCTAGTGTTTGCACAAGAACCCTCTGGGGCACGTTTCAAATGCAGACCCGTCGGCTGTGCCCCCAGAGGCTGATGCGGACGGTCTGGGCAGGAAGGCCCTGGGCTCTGCATTCCATCCTTCCCCGGCCTGGCCTGGAGCCCCACACCTGCGTCCTGTGTGTTTGCATGTTTCTGGGAGAAACAGACGGTCCTGACTAGATCTGGGAGGGGGATTGTAGGGGAGCCCTTGGGGAAGGCCTGCGGGCTGCGGGCAGGGTGGCAACATGGGGGCAAGAGCGTGGGCTCTGGAGGTTCCCATCCAGTCTTGTTAATTGCTAGGTGTGTGATAGGAATGGTTTTGAGCCTCAGTTTCCTAATCTTTGGAATGGGGATACTAGTGCCTGCCCCAGAGGCCACGTGAGGATTAGAGATGACGTGTGCAAAGGGCCCAGGGACGAGGCCCCCACCCAAGGAAGGTGCCTGGTAGGAAGGAGATGCCTCTTCTCCAATGAAGTCTTAGGCTCCCTCTCTGGGATGGACCGGGCTGGGGCCAGGGGTCACTGGGCTGGGGTAACCAAGCTCCGCCCTGCCCCTCACCCTGGGCAAACGCAGAGCCCTGGGAGGGACAGGCCGATACTCACCACCGAGGACAGGTCCACGTTCTCCACCCTCCTGTCCTGCAGCAGCACGGGCTGCAGGCCGGCGACGTGGAGCTGCACGGAGGCCGTGCGGTACACGAAGCTCAGCAGCCGGTCTCCCCTGCGGAGAAGGGAGCCACGTCAGCCGTGGGACAGCAGAGGACAGGACAGGACAGGACAGGACGGGCCCATGGTGGGACTGGAGCTTCCGCTGGATACCAGGGCCCCTGACTGCCCCGTGGAGGTACGGTGGTGGAAGCAGCAGCAGCTGACACTTTCAGAGCCCAGCCAGGGTGCCAGGCACGTGCCCAGGGCTTTGCACGGGTGCCACGGCAGCGCCACGAAGGCTGTTTTGTTCCCTGCTGGGTGCCCAGTGCCAAGAACGGGGTCTGGCATGCGATAGAGGAACATCTGTTCAGTGAATGAGTGAAGACTCGGGATAAAGTTCTCCACAAGTCAGCATGTCGCTCAGGAGCGCTGCCCCCAGCCTGGGAGAGGGGCCGGCGCAGGGCTCCCTGGGAAAGCAAGAAAGGAGGTGGGGAGTCGGGTCCTCCCGGGGGGAGGGGTGGAACTCTGGGGTCTGGGTGGCCCATCTGTGGCTGGAGGGACCAGCTCCGCTTTCTGAGGACAGGCCCAGCCCAGCCCGCAGGTCCTCCCTGCCCCCGGCCATCCTGGGGGAGGGGAGGGTGGTTGCCCAGGCCGGTCACAGTCCGGGGAACACTCCTCTACTTTCGTGGGTGCTGTGAACCCCACTCCCTGCCCCACCCCCCAGCCGAACACAACCCCACACTATCCGGAGAAAATAACCCAACTCTCTGCCGCCCGTTCTTCAGGAGCCGTGAGCACTGGCCACAGAGCACATGGTCTGAGGGGCCCACCAGGTAGCCTTCCCTCTCCAGCCCCTGGACTTTGACTGGGGTGAAGCCGGGCCAGCCAAGAGCCTCCTGTGGGCAGGGCCCCTCCCTGCTCCTTCTACCCTCCCCACGTGGATCTGGAGCAGGGCCCACAGGGTGGCCTCCTGTCCCTGCGCTACAATGAGTCCCCCTGGGGACTCAAAACGAACCCTCTCGCCGTGGGGTGAGACAGGTCTGAGGTCACACCTGGCTCCGCCTGTGGGCCCCTGGGCGAGTCACTTGCCCCTCTCTGAGCTTCATTTCTTCAAGGGTGCAAGAGGGAGCAGCACCAGTCACCCCAGCTAGCTTCCAGAAGGTTCACGGAAAGCCCAAGTGAGTGAATGAATTTGCAGAGCTTTATTAACATGAATTACACATTTATAAATGTGTAGTTTGGTCATGTTGGCCTGAATTCCCTTCCCTCTCACTCCCCCCACCCCCGTGTTTAAGGATGTTCACAGTGACGACAAGGCCTTTGGAGGCCAAGAAGCTGGACCCCTGGTTGGTGCTTGATTTAACCAAGGAGTGGCAGTTACTGTTTGGTCTGTATGTGTCCTCCTCCTTCTTTCTGTCTATAGAAAGAGGGCCCAGGGTCTCATAAAATAACTGAAAACCAAGCAATTAGTCTCAGGTGCTCATCAGAACAGATGGGTTTAATAAGATCTTGCTGCTTCTACGCCGCACACATGCAATTTTAATACGTTCCCTTTGCTGTTTATAGAAAGTACCAAAAAATCATCTGTTATGTGAATATGCCCAGCAATAAATACTATAGCTGCTATCATTTATTGGGCACCTACTAAGTGCCAGCCCTTTTGTTTCATAATGTCATTTAATCTTCCCATAGCCCCTGAGCAGGAGGAACTATTATTCCTATTTTATAGGGAGGGACACTGAGATTCAGGGAAGCTGTTTGCCCAAAGCCACCCAAAAGGTAAATGGCAGGGCCAAGACTTTAACCCAGGATTGTCTGACATCAAAGTCTTCGTCCATCCTTTTTTGTTTTCTTCTTCTAAAAGCTTTGCTTATTTTATTTACTTTTTTTTGAGATGGGGTCTTGCTATATTGTCCAGGCTGGACTCAAACTCTTGGGCTCAAGCTATCCTCCTGCCTCAGCCTCTGGGACTAGCAGCTGGGACTATAGGTGCATGTCACTATGCCCCACCAAAACTATCCTTACTTTAAAAACAAAATCAAATCAAAATCTCTGTTATATCCTATTTCCAATCTCTGCTCACGCCTTAGCAGCGGCCACTCTTATGTTTGTCATGGTTCTTCTATCTCTCACTGTACACTTATAGACATACACAGGTACATAATGTATATGCAGAATTTTTTTCCCTTCTACATGGGATCATAGTATAAACTGTTGCACTTGCTTTTTTTCACTTTAAATTTTCCCTATTTAGGGCCATTTTTGGTTGTTTTAAATTTTTCATTCTAAATGAAGCTGCAATGATCTCTTCTGTACATCCTGCATTGCTGTGTGTGAGTATCCTCTATTGCAGAATCTTAGAAGTCAAAATTCGTGGGGGTCAGAAAACAGGCACATTAAAAATTTTGACAGGCCGGGCGTGGTGGCTCACGCCTGTAATCCTAGCTCTCTGGGAGGCCGAGGCGGGCGGATTGTTTGAGCTCAGGAGTTCGAAACCAGCCTGAGCAAGAGCGAGACCCCGTCTCTACTAAAAATAGAAAGAAATTAATTGGACAACTAAAAATATATACAAAAAATTAGCCGGGCATGGTGGTGCATGCCTGTAGTCCCAGCTACTCGGGAGGCCGAGGCAGGAGGATGGCTTGAGCCCAGGAGTTTGAGGTTGCTGTGAGCTAGGCTGACGCCACGGCACTCTAGCCCGGGCAACACAGTGAGACTCTGTCTCAAAAAAAAAAAAAAAAAAAAATGTTGACAGATACTGCCAATTATCCTCCGAAAGGATTTACTAAATTCAGCCGCCACCAACAGTGTATGATGCTGCCCATTTCTCCAAATCTTCACCAACACTAAATGTTATTTATGTGGCAAACGTTTGATAATCTGATGGGTGATACATAGTATCTTACTGATTTTACTTACTGCATTTATTTCATTGATGATGAGGTTGGGCATCCCCCCCTCCAGGGCTCAGGCATACTAGGTACGCGGTAAGTGTTGTCACCTCCCCCCTGGCGTGAGGTTTGCACAGACCTGCAGTAGCCATTGATGATCCGCCCGGACACCACCTTCCGGAAGGGCTCCCAGTGCTTGGCTTCTCCTTCCACGGGCGCACCCAGCAGGACGACATCCTCAATGATCCCTTGGCAATCTGGCGAAAGAACCCAGAAAAGGCCATCAGTGTCCCTGGCGACAGTGGGTCCTGGGAGGGACTCTCCAACAGCAGTGGAGGAGACAAGTGTCGCACACGTACACATGCATGCACACGTGAACACAGACACACACATGCAAATGCATCCACAGTAAAGGGCCTTCTGCTCACTGAGCTCCAGGCCCCGGGTCAAGCCCCTGGTGTGCTTGATCTAGTCCTTCAAAGCATCATCGTGCCCATTCTGGAGGTAAGGAAAACCAACGGCATTTGCCAGATCACATGGCTGGCACGTGACGCAGCCCGAGTTGGAACCCGGGTCTCTTCCCACCACCCACGAAGCTCACACCAGCCGAGGACTCGGATTCCTTTAGAAGGGACTAACAGGCCCTGTACCGTCGCACAGGTGGGAGACACCAACGCCTTCCTCTGCAACAGGTCCCCGGGGTCTGTGCAGCCCGGCGGGAAGAAGGGGGTGAGGAGGACACAGGACGAATGGGTCCCGGGGCGGGGAGTGTCAGCTGCACTGATCTAAGGGTTCAGAAATATTTTAGGCCAGGGCTACTCCACGTGCAGTCTGTTTGTCCCGTAAGGACAGAAACAGACACAGCATGTCTTTTATCTTGCTGCAGACTGCAAACCACAGTTGGATGGGTATGTAGACCAGGCTTGGGGACACACTGCTCTAGACAAACGAGAGATGCACACGCACCCCCTTGCCCAGACACTGTCCCCTTCCTCTGCATTTTCTTCTTGTCGCCTGTCATTGTTTATCATTTGTCTCCTCCCCTAACGCTGAGGCTCAGTGAGGGCAGGTGCTGGAGCTGCCTTACCCACAGCTGTGCCTGGTACAGAGTTGATGCTCAGTAAAGATCTGAATGAATGAATGAGACAGGGAGTGAGTGAATAAACTTCTGTCCACCAGGAAAGCCAATGTCTGGGCTTTGACCCTGGTTCAAATCCCGGCTGAGCCACTCTGAGCTACGTGACTTGAGCCAAGTCATGTAACTTCTCTGAGCCTAAAAGAAGACAAAGATACTGGCCTCATAGGGTCTTTATGAGGATTAAGTCGTGGCGTGGGAAAAACGCCAGCATGGTGACCGCCCAGTGGAAGTCAGCATGCCCCCCGCCCTGGCCCCCCACTCCCTGCCCCCTGCCTGTGGCTCTTTCTTAGGATCCTGAGTCCCCTCACGTCTGGGGACCTGC